TTTGCATATGCAAAGTGGGTTTCTAAATCAAGACGTGGCCACAAATAAACTCTAGAAGATGTGGTGGAGATAGTTGTTGTTGGGGGAAGCAGGGGCAGCATGGCATGGGGCAACGTCTTTGACCGGTTATAACACTGACTGCCGCAGCACTTGTAGCGACTTGCAACGTCACTGCAGTTGCAGTTTGTTGCCGTTGCCCGTTGCCCGTTGCCAGTTTCGCTTTCATTGCAGTCGCACGATGTAAACGCTGCTGCAATGGCTCGTCATGGCTGTAGGAGAAATGAGCTGGCAGCGAAGAAAAGTGCCGAAACCCAATCAAACGTCGGGGCTATAAACTGGAAAATTGGAAAAACGCTGAGGAAATTTTATAAAGTCGCAATGATAGCGCCGATTCGAGGCAGTTGCGACGCAGCCGTCGACATCGTTGAAAGTGAAAATCGGCCTTGAAAGTGAGAGTAAAAGTGCGAATCGAAATGCTCAGACAAAGGAGCTGCCTGCGCAGGCCAATCTCTGTGCTGCTGATTATGCTGCTGCAGCACAGCCTGGCCATTAGAATTGAGAATACGTCGAGTTCAGTGGCGCCTGCTGGCTATCGCGTCTCGCGGCCAGAGCCCAAGCAGCCCACACAGCGCGTGCCGCCGCACCTGCAGGACATACGACCTGGCTACGTGGACGACGATGCGGGCGACGTGATACGCATCATTGAGCCGCCCCAGCACTTCCAGCAGCTGAAGCGACTGAGGCAGARGCAGCCGYCACAGGCAGCAGCGGTCATCGCGCCGCCACCAAAGCCCATTGTCTGGGAGCAGCCACGTAAGCTGAGCACCAATCGTSGCGYMCCGCYGCCGCGTCGAGTGAAATCGCCTGAGGGCGACTTGCTGACACAGGAGACGCAGCTGGCGCCGCTGTTCGCCAACAATCTGCAGCTGCCCATGGAGATACTCGCCTCGGTGCGCAAGACGGAGCGACTGCTGAAGAGGCAGCGCCAGGGACAGGCGCAGGGGCAGGGGCAGGGGCAGCCACAGTTGAGACAGCGCCACATCCAGCGACAGACGCACACGCTCATTACCCAAAAGGCGCTCGAGCAGCAGCTCTACCAGCGYGGACAGCWGCAGCGACTGCGCGCTGCCCTCCTGCAGGAGCACAAGCGCARCAAGCGCGTCAAGCGGCAAACCGAGTCGAGCTCCGATKCCAAGTATGATGTGCCGCATGGCCTGAAGCTCGTGGCGCACATAGATGAGCTGCTCAAGAATGCGACACGCWTTGTGCCCGATGAAGGGAAGCCGAATGAGCTGTCAGCCAAGCCAGAGACAGAGCCAGAGCTAGAGCCAGAGCCACAGCCAAAGACGAAGCCGAAGTCGAAGCCTTCGCTCTGTGGAAATGCAACCAACTGCGACAGTCGACGACGTCGCCAGCGACTGTTTAGAGCGAGTGCACAGAGAAAGACAGCTGGCAGGGGGCGCAACTTCC